AAAAAGTATCTTGTGCGCTGCTCTGCTAAAGCGATGATAATACGAGAAGTTTCGAAGTGACAATTTAGTTAATCTGGAAATCACAGATTGCGCAGGGGGTCACTTTGCAGTCGATTAGGGCCTTAGAAACCATGAATACAGGGGACTTCTGGAGTTTTACTTCATTCTCTTTTATAATTATTGCACAAAAACGGCAGATGGAGTATGTCATTTAGTACACTACCCTATATAATTCGACACAGCTGTCAATATAAAAGCGAACGTCGGCAACGTAGGGGTTTAGACAAATCTTTACCGACGTCGATCATGTTCCTCGACGTGTTTCACTTCACCTTAAACGTTCCAAATCCTAATTTGTAGACTTCCATAGCTGGCAGGATAATTGCGTTAAAGATTTCAGGTATATTTTAGGACACCTGGAGTCATTTTTGGTCGATCGTTTCTAACCGTGGCTTGAAATTGGGTTTCCAGCGCCGAAGAAGTACCTCGTCAGGGTTCTGGGCTCTACCCCGTATACATCCAAAGCGGTGGAACGACCTCTTCGCCCGAGTAGTTTAGATTCTAAAGGAGTCTTTATCCTCTTCTCGAGCTCGCCAATGGTTTGGTGCGGAGGTAGAAGTACCGGAGATACGAGGGAAGCGTCCAGGCGTCTTGCTCCAAGCACTGCGCCCTTAATGCTCGAAGGAAAGGAAGACGAAGAGTTTTGGACGCAACTTGGAGGTGCCTTTTACTTAATAAGGCTATAAGATGGTACTGAAATCAGAAGTTCATTATTTCTCTTTTCCTAGGACATGGCACATACGGCACCGAGGCAGAGGACACCGGGGAGGACTCGCGGAAACATCTTTACCAGTGCCTCGTAGAAGACGGAGTATTTCTCGGAGAAGAGGTTCTGGGGTTCACTCAGGGATCCCTTCTTCCAGAAGCAGCTTGGCTGTTGGATACCATCACCACCGTTTGGGTTTGGCGAGGAAAACACTCTGCCTTGAGAACACTGAAGGAATGTGTAGAAGCTGCGACTACGTTCCTCTACACCCATCCTGCAGGACGTGACAGGAACACCTCCATCTCTGTAATCGAGCAAGGTGATGGGCTTTTTCTCCGAATTTACCCTCGAATAGAAACGTCACCCTTGAACTTTTCCTAAACCCCCTCTAGAACTTAGTGACATATTTATCTAATTATTGCAAAGATTCGATACTCTTCCTCTGATAATTTTCAAAAGGATTTAAGGTGAAGGGAAACATGCCGAGGAACTTGATCGACGTCAGTAAAGAAGATTTTTCTAAATACCTACGTTGTCGACGTTCGTTCTTATATTAACAGCTGTGTCGAATTATATTCAATATTGTACTAAATGACATACTCCACCTGTCGTTTTCGTACAATAATTATAAAGAAATCGAAGTAAAACTCCAGAAATCCTTTGGATTCATGCTTTCTGGGACCCTAATTGACTGCAGAGGCACCCCCTGCGCCATCTGTGATTTCCAGGTCAATTCAATTTTCACTCCGAGACCTCGAATTACCATCCTTTTAGCATAGAAGCGTGTACGACACTTTTTTTGGCTTTATCTCCTTCAAATGCCAGTTTATCGACTACCAGAGTGTTCTAAATTGTCGTAAAATTGTCCTGACCCTTTCGATTCTCATATCAGAGCCTTCTATAATTGTATATTGATCGAAATGTGAGAGCTCGACGCCATTTTGGTTCTGGTCTGGGCTGAGTTAAAAAATCCAAATTTTGAATGTGTCAGGACAATTCTTAGATGATCAGAAGTGATGTGTCAAAGTTTCGAACAGTTTGGTCTAATACCCTTAAAAAAAAGTGTTGTATTCGAATCGACTGATTTCAGGGAGGTTTCACTTCACCTTAAGCGGAAAAAAATCGCACAGAATTTGCTGAAGTGTCGTTAATTAAAATAAAACGCCCTGAGACTTCTTCTAGGAAAATTTTCGGAGGAATATAAGTATTATTATTAAGGTGAAACTGTTTGCGCGTTATAAACTGTACATACTAAAATCTCTTTACTTATTTAGGTTTGGAGCCACCAACGTTCATTGGACTCTTCGATAACTGGAGTCACAATCTCTTGAGGGACTACCGATCGTTTGAAACACTGCGAGCTTCCTTGCAGGATCAAGAGCCGGTAATCAGGGAGACCATCACCGGAAAAGGGATGTCCGAGTTTGACTCCACCGTGAAGTATCCCCTGAGGATGCTGAAGAACGAGCCGGAGAACCTCCCAGGTGGCGTGAACGTTACCAGGAAGGAGATGCACCTGACGTTCGACGACTTCGTCTCCGTCTTCAAGATGAACCCGGTCGAGTTCGAAGAGTTGCCTGCTTGGAGAAGACAGAGATTAAAGCAAATGGCGGGATTATTTTGAGAGCCTCCATTTGCATTTTATTGCCTCTTTAAACGCCTGTAAGATCTTAACTTATATTTAATATTTAGCGAGGTATCTCCCGATCATTTGCATGGATATGTAAAAAAGATACGTAAGAATTCCTTCGTAGCTCACGATCCGAATACCCTAACAAGAAATTAAGTCTCGCAACGATGTCACTTTGAACGAAACACCAAAAATAAAAATAGTAAGGATAAAGTATCGAGGCAGTCGTCGGTATTAACCGTTTCGTTACCTTGGACGAGATATCTCGCGAGTCAATACTGGCCGATTAACGCTTTTGACGAGATATCTCGCGATCCGGTAGTAGCGGATTAACGCTTTTGACGATAATCTAGCTTTCTAGCACCAATATTTTGACATTCTAGATGAATATATTTTATAACTAATTCTATTCGTATAGCTAAAAGGAAGAAATAAATACTGCTACTACCGGATCGCGAGATATCTCGTCAAAAGCGTTGATCGGCTACTACCGGGTCGCGAGATATCTCGTCAAAAGCGTTGATCGGCCAGTATCGGGTCGCGAGATATCTCGTCAAAAGCGTTAATCGGCCAGTATTGGGTCGCGAGATATCTCGTCCAAGGTAACGAAAGGGTTAAATGATAAGATACGAATCCGAGAAACAGGACATCCAACCTGTTGCTTTACGAATCAGGATATCATCGATTAATTATTGCCTCTACCGAATACATCGATTAAGTTCCTGAAGAGACGTCACGTCTTCGAGTGGCACTCTCGACGAATAAACCTTGGGCTCTCGAAGCCCCGTTCTCTTAGTATTTATTTATTGAAGATAATGCAATTCCGTGGATTGGTATTTAACTAGCAATGTAATAAGTAGGAAGTAAGTGAATAACGATAATACATGGTCGATCGTCTTGCTGTGATAATCCGGCGTGGGCGAATTAATAAGACGTTTTTTGAAATAGCTATTATTGCTGTTTATCGGTCTTTTGTAAAATGATATGCCGTTAGTACTCTTGCCTCCCGAGTCGCCTCGACTCGAATTATCCCATGTATTAATTAGTGATTGAATCCAATAATACATTATGCTGGCAATAAACTCCTTCTCAAATGATCAATACCACTCGATCGTAACCGTTTGAGTCCCAGGGGTAATTGAAAAGACGGAGTCGAAAAATGCCGTAAAACGCAATAGCACGGTTTTAAGGTGAAGTGAAACACGTCGAGGAACTTGATCGACGTCGGTAAAAATGGTTTTTCAAAATACCTACGTTGCCGACGTTCGTTTTTATATTAACAGCTGTGTCGAATTATATTCAATATTGTACTAAATGACATACTCCACCTGTCGTTTTCGTACAATGATTGTAAAGTAGTCGAAGTAAAACTCTAGAAATCCCCTGAATTCGTGGTTTCTGAGACCCTAATTGACTGCAGAGGGACCCCCTGCCCCATCTGTGATTTCCAGGTCAATTAAATATTCACTCCGAGACCTCGTATTTTTTTTGTTTTAGCATAGTTTTAGCATAGAAGTGCATAAAACACTTTTTTTCCTTTATCCCGTTCAAATGCGAATTTACCGTTTACCAGAATGTTATAAATTGTCGTAAAATTGTCCTGACCCTTTCGTTTTTCACATCAGAGCTTTCAATAATTAGATATCGATCGAAGTATGAAAGCTCGACGCCAATTTGGTTCTGGTCTGAGCTAAGTTGACTTTTTTCAAAAATCCAAATTTTGAAAGTGTCAGAATAATTCCTAGGTGCACACGAGTCATGTGTCAAAGTTTCATACGGTTCTATCTAATACCCTTAAAAAAAGAGTTGTATTCGAATCGACTGATTTGAGAGGGGTTTCACTTCACCTTAATTGAGTGGGACGAGAGCCAAGCGGCTATTTCAATGACTCTAACAAGGAAGGGTTTTCAGGTGTCCGCCTCCGATTGTTTTGGTTCTTGGATATGTTTTAGAGGACCAAAAAATAAGAAACACGTGTACTTTAATATCGGCCCGTTTTCACATTTAGGGGGTGAAACAGCCTCTCAACATTTATAGGAAGAGGTATACGAATTCCTAGTTTGAAGAATAATGTGTTGAGTAAAACTTGTTGTAAATTTAAAATACGTCATAACTTGCTTGGTATATAATGTTCTTATCGGTATTCACCTTTACCTGGAGGTAAACTACCCCTAACCATATAAAGACACGTATAGAGACTTGAAACGTAGAACATGGTCATGAAATTTTTAAGAAACTTTGAGTATCAATTATTTTATGATGATAAAATAGTGATTTAATGACCTTTTATCACTATCGAGGGACCAGACACCCCTAATTAATTCGTTACGTTTGTCTTATAACAAAAAGTGTAAAAGACGCGTAATCTTCGAACGAATGCAATTAAAATTCATGACGTGAACAGTATTTCATGAAGATGGAACTCTAAAATGTCACCATAGTAACAACTACCCCCAACGGAAAGTCCACCCCAACAGAGCCACTTATGTCCGGTCTGGAAAAAGAAAATGTTTACACACATTCAAACGTGATTTAATAATCACTATTTTATCATCATAAAATAATTGATGCTTAAAGTTTCTTAAGAATTTCATGACCATGTTCTACGTTTCAAGTCTCTATACGTGTCTTTATATGGTTAGGGGTAGTTTACCTCCAGGTAAAGGTGAATACCGATAAGAACATTATATACCAAGCAAGTTATGACGTATTTTAAATTTACAACAAGCTTTACTCAACACATTATTCTTCAAACTAGGAATTTTTATACCTCTTCTTATAAACTTTGAGGGGCTGTTTCACTCCTAAATGTGAAAACGGGCCGATATAAAAGTACACGTGTTTCTTATTTTTTGGTCCTCTAAAACATATCCAAAAACCAAAACAATCGGAGGCGGACACCTGAAAACCCTTCCTTGTAAGAGCACCGTCAGTTGTCCATACCATTCAAATGTACTGACTATTTTCGACATGAAATTTAAACAACGCTATCGCGGTGCCAGGAACTCAAAAGGTTAAATCACAAGATGATTCGATGAAAGGGATTTTGTTTTCTTTACCGAACGTATCCCACTGTTAAAAATCTTAAGGAAAATCGTAAAGAGTCTTTATTGATTCAAACTGAACTTGCTTTTTGAGGATTTCCGAGAGCCGAGTCCCTCCTACATTAACGATCACGCCCGCGGTCGTAACTCTTAGGATTAAAAACACGAATGACGGTCACCTAAAGAATCCGATCGCCCCGGCGGAAAGGTACGGAATCCCGAAGTACAGAACAGATTATAAAAAGATCTGAAAGGTACTCGACAAATGCTAGCGTTCTCCCGCAATGTCCGTAAACGCTCAAGAGCTCTCTAAGACTTTGGTAATATTTATAAAAACGAGGAAAGAAAAAACAAGAACTCATTGCAAGCTTCACTTGAATCTATCCATCTCTCGCAGCTGGACTCGCTTCGTGACTCGTTCCCTTTGCATTTTTTCCTATTTTCCGGTGTTTTCGCTCTGTACAGTCAAACCTCGCAAAAATATTTTCTGTGCATCTGGTACAATCCTTCAGCAAACGATTCCTCAAGGAACTCGTTACATTGACAAGAGTATCTTCAGGACAAAGACGCCTTAACCCTAGACACGCACAAAGAATGGTTAAATACAAAAACTGCCCATTACGACCGTGAAGGTTCACGAATCCTCCGTTGATGGAAATTAGATTTTCAAATGCAATTCAAATCTTTCATTCATCTTGTTTGTAACACGCTTAAGGTGAAGTGAAACACGTCGAGGAACTTGATCGACGTCGATAAAGATTTTTCTAAATGCCTATGTTACCTACGTTCGATTTTATATTGACAGCTGTGTCGAATTATATTCAATATTGTACTAAATAACATACTCAACCTGTCGTTTTCGTACAATAATTGTAAAGTAATCGAAGTAAAACTCCAGAAGTCCTCTGAATTCATGCTTTCTGGGGGCCCTAATTGACTGCAGAGGGACACCTTGCGTCATCTATGATTTCCAGGTCAATTAAATTTTCACTCCGAGACCTTGTATTCCCATCGTTTTAGCATAGAAGCCCATACAACACTTTTTTTGCCTTTATCTCGTTCAAATGCGAATTTATCGATTACCAGAGCGTTCCAAATTGTTGTAAAATTGTCCTGACCCTTTCGTTTCTCGTATCAGAGCCTTCGATAATTGTATATTAATCGAAATATGAGAGATCGACGCCATTTTGATTCTGGGCTGGGCTGTTAAAAAGATTTTTCCAAAAATCCAAATTTTGAATGTGTCAGGACAATTCTTAGATGATCAGGAGTGATGCGTCAAAGTTTCGAATAGTTTGGTCTAATACCCTTAAAAAAAAGTGTTATATTGGAATCGACTGATTTGAAGGGGGTTTCACTTCACCTTAAGTCAATGTACAATAAGAACTGCTCGCCGAGGGAGTGTTTATAATGAAGAACTTAATTTTCCTCCCCAGCGAAGGAAACGGAACCGATAGCGAAGTATTAAATCCGTGGATAAAGGGTAGTACAAAAGAATCTGACAATTTTTATAGAAGTAGAACGAAGTACCCTTCGTCAAGACCGAAGCTACAATACTCGCCTATTCGAGCGAATCTATTCCGGGAATAAAAATGTCTTCCGTAAGTGGGAATGGACATTGTAAATTGTTCTACCCCGCCTACGCTCAGGTACATACACCTCTTTATACATATAATTAACATTCAGCATTAAGGGCGCTCACCACTTCTGTGATTTTGCAGGGTCTCATGGGGATAACGATTTTTTAAGCGTATTTCTCAACCGATCAAGTTCAACGAGTACTCGTTGTAAAGATAAAATGATGACGGGTGTTTATATAGGAGCGATTTTCAATAAGTGGTCATTTTCATATTAAAAAAAAAATGCAACGACATAATTTCAATGCTCTATTACCTAGGAAGGAGGTGCTTAACCGTTTGAGTCCCACGCGCCGCTTTCGCGCTCTTCAGATTTCATGTCGAAAAAACCCAGAGCATTTGAACGATACCGACAATTGACCGCGCACTAAGAATCTGACGAAATTCGCTCAACTTTCCAGACGCATTTTCAGACGAATTTTTCGATACAGATTAAAAGAAGCGTTATTGCGCCGCTTGGATCTTTTCGCATCCCATTCAGAAAGCGCTATTGCGCTGCAAGGCTTTTTCGACCGTGTTTTTTTTTTTTTTAAACCTCTGGTACTCAAACGGTTAATCGAAAATCGCTCCCATATAAACCCGCCTCGACGTTTTATCTTTAAAAGGAGCACTCGTCGGGCTCGATCGATTGAGAAATACGCTTAAAACTCGTTGTCCCCGTGGAGCACCTTTTCACGATTTTCAGGTTTCTCGCTCGGAATTTGGACATTCCTTGGCAACCGTTGCCGAATTTTGGCGGAGCGTCCAACTAGCGTGTGAGGGCGTCGGGTTTCACCCACACTTCGACGCCAAGTCAGAGTTGGCTAGTGTGCGTCCTATACGTGCAAAGTAAACACTTATTTTTCGACCGTCACCAAATACCGCCCATTACGCGTCGCGTTTCCCTCATCCGAGCGAAAAAGTACGTTTTGGTTACCTCCAGGGTTGGGTAGGTATAATACGTCATGTAATATATGTGGTTTTCTACATGTATATTACACGTATAATACATCGTGTAATATACGTGATTTTCTACATGTATATTACACATATAATACGGCACGTAATATACGTGATTTTCTACATGTACATTACACATATAATACGGCACGTAATATACGTGATTTTCTATATGTATAATACAACGTATAATACGTCTCTAATTTCGTACGCGAGCGCAAAGTATATTACGCCCTTCTATTTCTAAATAGATAATAAATCCAGGGAGAAATTCGATACTAAACAGAGTTAAATCGAATGAATTTTGAACACAAGCACCAGATTAATCATTTCTTAACAATTTTTACGTATTTACGTGTGCGCTAAAAGATGTTTACCTCGAAGATACATAAAATCATGCATCTGCGGAACCGCCTTATTGGAAACGTAAAATTCTAAAGATTTTTGGATACAAACGTCTAATTAATTCATTGTTCCATAAAATATTTCCGTGTTGACGTATGTGCTAAAAGACGTTTATAACTTAGCCGATGCTGTATATCGTCCATCTACGGCATTCTTCGTGTTGAAAACATAATTTACTGGTTTTCTACGATTTTTTACGGCAAACTACTTGGTTTACGTAACATACGTCAAAAGTCTTAAAAAACACGAAATTACCCAACCCTGGTACTTCCCACCGAATTCAATGCTAATGCCATCTAGCGGTGGAAGTCATCGTTCCCACCTTGATGGTGAATGTCGTTAACTTAACCGCCTTAATTATTTCTATCGCGATATAGAGGTAAGATCCTTGATTCGCCGTCAATGTGTAACTATTTAAGCTGCAATTAATTACAATCTAAGGGCAATCTATATCGAGAACTTTTCTCTTTAATGCTTGTAATAGCAAGAAAGTACTATTTACGTCATGGTACGCTATATACCAAACGATGTATAACATTAAACCGTTCGCAAAAATTGCATGCTGTATTTACGAGTATTGTTGTAAATTGTTTTGAGATATGATTGAAATGCTTCCGTATGACACATCCTAAAAACCATTTCCCAATACGTACAAGCAAGATTTTCAGAATATCTTAAATGGTTTTTTTTTTTTTTCAAATTCAAAACCCACAATAAATTGTATTTATTCCGCATTTGTAAAGCAGTGCATTACTCGTCGCGGCTACAATTTTCCTCTATGCTGGATAACATATTGACTTCCTAGTGTAATTGTAACATACTAACTTCGTAGACATATTGTTATGTATTGTATTACTTTCAGATATCTCCCCGTAACGAGACAAACTTCAGCAATCCTAGATCTTGTAGTTAAATCTATGAATTAAAATTCGAACGAGTCCAGCTGACAATAGTTTAACAATGGCCCACGGATATTTTCACAAGACGGTTATTCCAAGGATTTGGAACGATTATTTGTTTCGCTGTGATACATTGTTACGTTGCACGTGACTCCTAAGGTAATTTAAGCGACAGCGCTTCAATATCCCGTAGACTAATTATTTAATGTACGTAGTATAACATTTTAATAATTGCGCAACGTATCGATGCAAACAATCATTCTAGAACCCCAGACGAAAGGCGGTCATCCGCATTTCGGAAAGTCTCGCGCATTTCCCTGACGATTACTCGTTTAAACGCGCCGGTTCTTTACGAACTTAAGAAGTACTTTTCTTTCGACGCTATACGACTAGAATGCATATCACGAGAGTGGCTCGCTGCCATTTAAATCGACTCTAATCGGGCCTGGAAGTCATCTCAGATACTCTTCTTATTGGAGGAATCCTTAATTTCAGCACGGCCAACCAGATCCCCTGAACAGAAGCACAAATATAAACAACTGACATAAGAAAATAGCATTGGCCAAAGATAGACTGAATCGTGGAAGTTTGACCAAGAGTTAACGGCAACAATTCCTTCAATTGATATCCAACGATAGACTCTTTCAGAAGAGTACATGTTATCGACAACAAGATTTCTTTCCAATTGTTATGAACTTAAAAATGCTCGGTAAGGTGTGGAATCTGTCATAAAGGAAGGAATAATTTTATCGAATAAGCTAGAAACTTTTCTAAATATATTATTTTTCACCCTGCATGACTCCAAAATGATTTTAAGTTAATATGAAAGAGTCAGCCTATATATATTTGAGAAGTCAAATCACTGGGGAAAGTATTCTCCGAATTGGGTGTACCGATTCGTTTCAAATTTGACCACGGGAATATGGAGGCCCTAAAGTAGGTCCTGAAACTCATGAAATTTCATTTTTCATCAAAAATTGATTTATTTATCATGGACCAGAACCAACATGGCATGGTCCGGGCACGCTTTCGATGTTTTACGCTTCTTGGAGGTTTAGAATCGAAAATGAAGAGTTTCAGGACCTAGCTCGAACTATTTAGAATACCGTAGAAATGGAATATTACAGAGTCAGATGGGAAAACGTGGGAAATACTTTCACCAACGATTGCAAAAGAATGCTGGCTTGTCCTGCGGCTAACGCGTGCTTTTGGAGCAATAATTTAGTTGCAGCTAAACGTCACAGATGGCGACGTTGATTCGTTAAAACATAAAGTCATGAATTCATGGGATTTCGGCAGTTTTACATCTATCTTTTTATCATCACTTTATCGAAATAACATATAGAACTCTTCAGTTCGTATAATTCTCAACGTACAGTGTAAAAGACTTCAATATAAATATAATTGTCGGCAATGGGACGCGCAAGTTTATGTTACCACTTGAATATTCAAAACGGCATTACCACCAAAAAGGGTACAGATGAATTTTACGTTATCAAAGGCGATTAAATTTCTTAGCCCCTTTCATATCCTCTTAACGTAACGCGTTATGAAAAGTTCTAGACTATTCAACAATTTTAATACTCAAAGGTCCAAAGTTTACTCACCTTCCTCGATGACAACACAGTTTTATAATTAAATACGCTCCAGAGTACTTTCGTCATCTGCATCGATCAACGTTTCAAATAAAGACTTACGCAGACAAGCCGCTCCAATTAGGAATGAGACGAACTGGAAGCACTTTCCAAATAGAACTGTCAAGCCATGCAAAAGTTTCAATGGAATACGAAGCTTTCGTTTTGCTTGTTCTAATTTGTTCCAATCGTTACCGACGACGCTAATCGACGACAATCGGAGCACTCGAACTCAAAAATTTGACGTATTATATTTACACCGTTTAGTAATCATTAGTCAAACGTCATCGGCCCAGTCCACCGTTGGCACACCTTGAAATGTTGCTATGACGGCACCCTCTCAAGACCTACCGGTGCTGGAAGATGTCTGTGAACGAGTCTTCTCCATCAGGATCGATGCATTTTTCTTTTCCGTCTGAAACGAATTCCATGCGCAGCGCAAAAAACGCAAGACGTCAGTGACAGATAAGAGTTAGTTATGGGAGTAGGGGTAAAAAGCAAAATGTGGACAAATGTTAATATACATTTAAGCAATGATTATACCTCGAAGTACTGATGCCACAGGACACAACCATATACGCAGAGAACAGAGACTAGAGATTGGCAAAGAAGCCAGAGGAGGATGTTTAGGGCTTGAGTGCGTTCAAAGAGAGCAGCTCCGTGACGTATGCACAGCAACGCCTCCGTCACCATAATCGCACCGTATACCCAACACTGGGTACCCACCCGATTACATGTTGGGTCCGTAACGTACATGTAGTACTGTCTGAAATTAAAAAGAAAACTCTTTGAATTGCATAAGAAATGGTAGCTCAATAATACTATTACATTTTCAATTTGGTGGAACTAGTCTCTCAAATATATGCAATTTTAGACAAAATGTAAATAAGCATTAACTACTACATTGTTGAAAAGACTACAATGTTTTTACTAAAAACAGTGAATAACTTACTTGACCGAAGGCGATACTATGACCCCTATGAGAATTAGCCTGATGACAACAAAGGGGTGGGAAGGTGGAAACTCGTACACATGCTTAAGAAAGAAGGTATTTAGTTCGGAGACCTGCCAAAATATGACCAGCTGGCAAAGTGCCACAAATCGCATATGAGTACAGGTCGGATCGAGCCACCTAACAGAGGTCCAGCTGCCAGGCGTAAATTGGAGTACCGCTCGCTTCAACTTTCCCGTAGTGGTCTCGATGTCACGTATACTGACCCATTTGTACTCACGCATCTCTAGGATCGAGCAGATCTTTAACCCAACCCAAATGCCAAGACCGTTACAAATGAGCACATCGAGTATCAGAGCGTCCCACCAACACTCGATAAAGTTTGGCAGGAGGTGGGCAAATGTAATCTCTGTCACTTCCCACATAACACTGATCGCCCAGAGTATCCCAAAATGTCTTATCAATATGGCCTTGAACATCCAGCCCAGAAAGTGTGCCAAGGCGAATACATCCAGATGGCTCCATATTCTCTCAAAGTTCACATCGGAGCAATTTACGCCATACTCTTTATCCATATCTATGCGAAACGATGCAAGGCCTGGATCTATCCACACCAATATCTTCCGTACCGTTTCATAATTCTGAAATAACATGAACAGCAAGCTCATTAAATAGAGCACGCTGCAGCCAAAAACTATTCTCCACACCGCCGGATGAGGCCTTGTGAACGGTCCATTAGGGAATGTCAATACCGATATTATAAGAAAGAAGAAAACCACGCAGAGTATTCCTGCCCAAATATTATCCTCTATATTTGCGGTATCCCTGTAAATAATATAAATCATTATTTCTTACCTGAATAATCTATGACTGTTCTAACTCCGGTTTACTCACGAAGCTTGCAAGAGCCTACAGAATTTCTCTATGTATCAACGGAAATGGTGAAACGACTTATCAAAAGCAAAACATCTTGCCACGCCACGGAAAATCAGAAACCGAGAGCGAAACAATGAGTCAATGGGACTCTGTAATGGCTTGCACAAACTTCCTCCGAGTACAATGATATAAATATAAGTGGCATACCTAACGAAGGCAAAATATATCACTGCTCCGATAGAGGTCAATAACAAGGTTATAGTGTGTGGCGTATAAAAGACCTCGATCGAGATGTCGTCAACTGGTCTTTCATTGATGTTCGAAAAGCTGTCGGTCCCGGATAGCAACTTATAACCCTCATTGCTGTTTGGTGAGGTCTGACTCTTTCCCGTTTCTCCTCCGTCTTTACTAGTTAATCTCTGCCGCGCAAAAGCGCTAGTCTCCGCGTTGCTCATCTTCTCGTCCGTCGGCATCGATTTGCACTTCAAATTCGCAAACCGAACATTTTTCTTGCGTCTCTCCGCGTGTAATCCGATTACGCCTCTGCACCGTGAACGTACGGACCCATAATCTGATGCAACCACCGACACCACTTTCTGCAGTTTAGAGGTTATGTCCCACAAATACCGGCGATGAACTTCGATGTCTAAGAATGAAAACAGGTTAAGAAGCGAAGACTTCTTATTCGTCATGTGGTACTAATAACGAGGCGCTGCTATCGAGAAATAAAATGAATGGAGTCATCTTCGTTACCGTTACAGAATTTTCGATGAAAACAGGGTTGAGTAATTTCACGATTTCCGATGTTTTTGACGTATATTACGTAAATCAAGTAGTTTACCGGAGAAAATATAGAAAAACAGGAGAAAACATATCAAATATGACGGACAAGACAGACGTAGGGCAAGCGGTATCCGCTAGGTTATAAACATCTATCTTGTCCATTTGTTTCATCCCATAATTTACTTTTAGGTCTTCCACCTTTATACATTTTTATACAAATATTGGTTACGAATCTTACGACTTCAAGTAGCCGTTATCAGCCGTTATAAACAAACGTCAAATGCACATATATAAATCAATTTCAAATTTCCAAGGCTGATTTCGAATGTGCGCGGATTTGTGGATGCGTAAAGCGCAATCCCCTTAATAGCCAATGAGAATCACTCTTAGAGGTAAATAGGTGGACTGTTATTGGCCATTGACGATATTGCGCATGCGTTTGCACATTTAGTTTGGGGTAATATACCCTACTGAAAGGTTGGTCTAATGTCTCACTTCCATACACGCTGAAACCGTGCGGAATGCACGCAGAATAAACGCGGGGTGAGGAACGCAGGAAGCGCGTTAGGGCTAGAGTTCTAAATCCAGTATGTTACGTCAGAAACGAAGAGAAATTCCCGGTAACTTATCGGTAATTTCTCCAAAGCCTTTTTTATCAAGAAATTATGAGAATTTGAATTTTTCAACAGATCGAACGAGAGGTTTCGATTAGCTATAGAGAAACATCGTAGAGGGGAATTTCCGTTGTACGTTCTCCGTAGCCAATCAAAACCTTCCATTCGCTTCGTCGCAGAATAAAATATTAGTTCATTTGAAACAAATCGCATGGAATTTTCCGTGAAGTTGTTGATACGTGAATATTTTTAGCTGGAGGTAAATACGACCCTATAATCAATATTTTCTAACAGTAATTATTACTCTATAGGTTGAACTTTGAAGTTGATTGAAAAAAAAAAGTTACTTAAACGAAGAAACCTAAAGTATAAATAACAAAATTAACGTTCTCTTAAATTCTCAATGTTCCCGATAACTTACGGTATGTTTCACAGTTACCTTCTCCAATTTAATGTTACGGAGAATTTTCGAACTCTAGTTAGGGCTAAGGCATTAGGCTACATTAGGCTGATTGGTTAAGGGCGCTCACCACTCTAGCGATTTTGCAGGGCCTCACGGGGACAATGATTCCGTACGTATTTCTAAACCGATCGAGCTTAACGAGTGCTCATATCGAAGATGAAACGTTGACTTGTGTTTATATGGGAGCGATTTTCGATAAGTGGTCATTTTCGTATAAAAAAGTGCAACGACATAATTTCAATGCCCTTTTACCTAGGAAGGAGGTGCTTGATCGAAAATCGCTTCTATATAAACACACGTCAACATTTTATCTTTAAAACGAGCACTCGTTGAGCTCGATCGGTTGAGAAATACGCTTAAAATCGTTGTCCCCGTGGAGCACCTTTTTCAGGATTTTCGAGGTTCTTGCGAGGAATTTGGGCATTCCTTGGCAACCGTTGCCGACTCTAGGCGGAGCGTTCACCTGACGTGTGCGGTCGGCCGGGGGTCACCCACGTTTCGGCGCCTAGTCCAGAGGCGTCTAGCCGTTGTGTGAGTCCTATACGTGCAAAATACGCACACATTTTTCGCCCGTTGCTAAACACCACCCATTATGCATCGTGTCTCCTTCATCCGAGCGAGAAAGTACGTTTTGGTTACCTCCCACCGAATTTGATGCTAGTGCCACCTAGCGGTGGAAGTCATCGTCCCCACTTTGGTGGTGAATGCCGTTAAGCCAGGTTAAGCCATCTCAAGGCCTTTCTGTGTTTGCGCCTCGCGTTGATTCCGCCCGGTTTCCGCGTGTATGGAAATGAGGCATAAGAACAGAGATGAGTTGGGAGATTGCTCACGGGCAGGGTCGCGCGATCGC